AGATCTTAACTGCTTATGGTTTTCATATCAATTTTTATTAATACTAGACGAGAAAATTTTTATTCTCTGACTCTTCCATGGTTTTATTTCTTGGATGCCTGATTTCTTTATTTTCACGTATGTACATCAATTAATATTTCTGCAATAATCATAATGCGCAAACGTAATTACCTAATAATCATTACAGTGATTTTTAACTCAATGGCACATGGAAAGCTCACTAATTTTATTCCACGCCACAAAAATAATATGCTTATTGATTCGACGTTCATGAAATTCTCCGTTACTTGTTAAATTTTATTATGTTTATATTGTATGACTGAAGAAGGCCTAATCTAGGTCGAAACGTTTGTCGATGTGCATTAAGAGAAATTATACTGCATGAATAACTAACAACGGCTCTTTCTGCCTTTCTACTTATTATTATTATTTATTCCAATATTTTTTAATATTAATGATTTATTAATATGCAGCGTGTCTTAAAAATGTTTTCTTTCCACGAACATATTAAATTAGGAAAAAAACTGATATTATTTAACTTTTTCTTACAATATACATAAAAATAAATTAAATTTTTCACATGCTACCATTTACGTTTCATAGCATATTTTAAACATAAAATATAACATAGAAAAATGTTCTAAAAATGTTCTAAAAATTTATGCAAAATAATAAAAAGGTTTTTTATCTTATATCAATAAATACACATATAATTCAATTGATGTGTCGTACATTTCCAACGAAAATAGATTTTATATAATAGTTAATCAAAATTTATGGCTATTTATTGATCTATAAATTAAAAAAAATGTTTGCAAATTTCTCAGTATTTTTCCAATTAATGCTATCGCACGTGAGTAGTTATATGCAAAAAAGCTGTTTTATTTATATTAAATTGCAAGAAAAAATTTAGCACAATTTTTCGCTTTTGATATCATAAATCAATATAACTGCAGCGAGTAACCGAGACTATAACAAAAAACAAGTTCACTGCAATATGAGCTTATATTATAAAAAAAACTCAAATTTTGCACGTATCCGTTTTAGTAAATAATCTAAAAAAATTTAAATATTGAATAAAGTTATCACAGATCTACGAAATGTTTAAAGCATGTATGTTGCAGTATCCTGTAATTAAAATTTTTATAATAACAAAATTGTTTTAATTTTTGTAATTTAAAAGCACGATGTTTCAATATTATTATTTAATCGCTAACATAAACATATATATATATATATATACATACATATATGTACTTCAAAAAAAGTTATTAATAAATATAAAAACATTGTTTTTTTGAAAAGATAAAGTACAAATCAAAAAGAGAGAAATATTTGACAGCAATAAACGTTATTAAAAATGTAGATAAATCGATCCAATTATTGATATAACTACTTAATGATAAAATTCATTAATCTAGTTTCTTCTTCATTAGCATAATACTGTGATTCATTGATACCATACTTCGCATTATAATTACTTTTCAATTTGATATACTACAAATCATTTCACGTAAGATAATATTTATAAATACTACAAACATACCTATAAACTTGATTTCGAAAAATGGATTCCTTAATAAAGCGTAATTTACGAATATTCTTCACCGGCAGATCAGTGTGTAGAAACTTTTCTCAATTTTCACTTTTTTGGCAACTTGTGCAATTTCTCCACAATCTGTTCCAAAGTCTTGCCTTTAGTTTCAGGTATGTAGAAAAAAGTTAACAAAACAATGATAAAACTGCACGTGAAAAAAATCCAAAATGGCACGTGTACACCAGCAGTTCCGGCTATTAACAGATATGACTTAACCACAGTAAAGGCGGAGGCATTGAGCACAATTACGGTTATCGTACTGCCGAGAGCCTTGACGTTCGTAGCAAATAGTTCACTGCTCATGGTTAATAAAAGCGGACCCAGACCCAAGGAATACATGACTATATAAGTGAATACACCGATAACAGGTAACCATGCTATCTTGCTGATATCCATACCACAGTATTGCAAATTAAAATATAACGCGACTATAGCGGTTGAGCATGCCGAACCAAAGGCTGAAATTATCAACAGCGGTTTCCTGCCGATACCATCGGTGATCATCATACAGACAATCGTAAATATCACTTGCACGATGCCCAGTATCATGGTCAAGTATTTGCCCTCTAAATTAATGTTTGCTTGGTCAAAAATTAATTGAGCGTACTGTAATATAGCTTGACTACCGCTCATTTGCTGTAATGTACCCAGGCACAACAAGATTATTAAAGCCCTGTAAAATAAAATTTATCAATTGTTTCAGTAATCATAATAATCTGTGACATTTGACGCGTAACATTTCCGATTCATACATTATAAACATTGAAAGTCAACGTTAATAAAAAATTATTTTCAAATTATTTTATAAGAATATAATTATCTTACAAAGGGTTTTTAAAGAGTTTTTAGTAGCATCAATTTTAAATTCAAAGCTAAAAGCTTTTTGTTCATCTATCAAAAAGTAGAAAGAAAATTATTTCTAAATATTTTATATTGTATAATGATCTTTGAAACATGACAATAAATCAATATTTGACATTCACCTGCGATTACCCGAGACAAATAGAAGTTCTTGAAAACCAGTTTCGTTAGCCAAATCAATTTTTACGATTCGTTCAATGCTGTCTGCCTCTTTGTGAACATCCCCTTTGCCTCTCAATTGAATGAGAGAATCTATGGCCTTTTGCTTGGCGTCGCAGCGCATTAAATAGTACGGAGACTCTGGTAGCCAAATGAAGGTAACCACAAACAGGCACGGTCCTGCCAAAGATACAAGGGCCAGATTTTTCACCGAGAGAAACGGGCCTATTACGTACTCGATTAAAGTGCCTAGTTTCGAAGCAGCTGTTAACATGGATGCCAAGTTACCGCGGATATTTGCTGGCGAAATTTCACCCAAATACATCGGTGTAGCGGTAGCAGAAATACCCATGGCTAGTCCAGATATAAATCTCGATATATATAACTCCTGAAAAAACAGAGAAGAAATAAGATCAAAAAATAAAAAAATTTAACGCATTATATTGATCTTTACTCAGATAACTTATTTTCCAAAATATCAGAAAGATAACATTATCTCTTTTAAAAGAGCAACTTTTATGCGTACATACAGTTCTTTTGAAATTGTTTGCCAACTATCTAATTAAACAGAAGTTATCGAAACTGGAAATATTGGATTGTAAATAAAAGTGAGATTTAGTTTGACATCTAAATAGTACAATATATTTTAAAAATCCACAAAAAGGTGGATATTAAGATAAGATAAAAACTAAAGTAATCCCAATCTAAATACGCCTAATTTGAAACAAGAAAAATCGTGACTAGTCAATCGAAATTCTTCTAAAATTTTTAATCACGATATGCCACTACATTTCGATGTATAATTCTGTAACATTTAGAAGTATTACTTGGCAAAAAGAGAAGAAATCAAATTACCCACGTTGACGTTGCAAAGACTATCATCAACCAGCTGATGATCGACGGCACAGCTGTAAATAACATGGTGTTTTTTCTGCCAATAACATTCACAATAAATGCACAAACAATAGAACCGGGAATTCCACCAATCATAAATAAGGCTGCCACCCAAGAGGCTTCGTCCGAAGTCAAATGTATAGAATACTCAGTATTATTACTTTGCATCAGTGTAGGCAAAGATGGCGATGCCCAGCCGACAAATTGGCCAATCGACAATGTACCCAGGTTTCCTAGTAAAACAATACATTTCACAATTAGTATATTAATAAGATTATCCTTACAAGAAAAAATAATTTTTATATAAATTTTAGTTTTGTAAAGATTATTTGTTTTTAATTTTAACTTTGCTTAAGATTTTTTTAATTCTAATATTATTTCAATATCAAGAAATACATGAATTAAAAAAGTAATATTGTAAAAATTTCATTTGGACATGTCAAGCCAGTAAGATTATTGGACACACATACAGGATACAAACAGATCACAAATAAATAAATAAATAATATGTTGCACAAATATAAAGAATTAATATATATTTAAATACAAAGAATTAAATTAAATTAAATTAATTGGCGGTAGTTAAATCCTCTTTCAATTTTGCATGCAAATATCCATTAATGATGAATAAACAGTTTTATCAAATAATTCCTTCTGCATTTTAAATATTTGTGTACCTGTTATAGCGGCGAGGTATACTTTCTTCATTTTTTCGAAACAATCAATTCCACGTTTAAATATTAAATGATTGAGTTTGCAACCAAAAGAACTGACAAAATTCCGTAATTGTCGTCATATCAGCTTTATCTGAGACACCTCAGCATATTTATATAATTGATATTATCGAAGAAAACAAAGAATTTAAACAGATTTGAATGCAATTTATGTTATCAAACATCTCTTATCATATAAATATTTACATGAATTTTTACGTAATTATCTTACGACGTATACGCTATCATAAAAAATCCGCAAAGACTTAATTACTGATGAGAATCTTTCTTATCACATTATCAAGTGATGCTCATCAAGATATCTTATATTATGTAAGATACTAATTAGGATGAGGATAAAAGAACAATAAAAAGTAAATTGCGTATTAGTATACCAATACAATGAATATAATTATTTCATGTCATTAATAGGAAATTTATGATATATTTTGATACAAAAATTAAGTATATTAATCTTTCAACATCAAGCAATGTTGCAAATAATATTAATATTGCAAAATTAACATTTATTAACATTGACAATAAATGTCATCATTTTCAATATGTAATTCATGTTGTTTAATATTAATTGTATATTTATTAATATACAGCGTCTTAAGAGTGTCTTCTTGCTGTAGTCATATTAAATTGCAACGTTAAAAAAAAAATTATATAACGTTTTCTTGCAATATACATATTATGAATGTATTATGTATCCCCTTTACAAATTTTGCTCCCTCAGATGAAAAATACTTCCGCGGCGCCTGATCACAGTCATTCCATTTTTCAAAGGAATAGCTGTGAGTGGTCAGTTTCATAACTACGGATATTATTAAACCCGATTAAGGGTGACGTGTAAACGTATACTATGACTTTTATATGAGCGCTAACATGAGCATATACGTGAAAGAAAATTACTAATAAATACAGAAATTTTTGAAAAAATAAAGTATAATTCAAAAGAAAAGAAATATGCATTTTAAAAAAATGCTATTAAATGGCAGATAAAGTTGATGCAATTATAAATACTTCATGATAAAATAAATTAATATAATTTCCATAGCATGATGCTGCGATTTGTTATAATTAATTTATAACTTCCGATGTATTATAATACAGATTATTTCAGATAAGATAATTACAATGATAAATACCTATAAACTCGATTTTGCAAGGCGCTTTCCTTGATAAAACGTGAATAATTTGCAATTCTTCGTCAAATCGTCAGAAAATTTCTTCCTTATTCTCACTTATTCGGTGGTTTGTGTAACTTCTGCTGTATCTGCTCCAGAGTTTTACCTTTGGTTTCAGGTACGTAAAAAAATGTGAAGAGCGCACACGCAAAACTGCTTGCGGTGAAAATCCAGAATGGCATGTGTATGCCAGAACTTTCGACTATAACCATGTACAATTTTGTCACGGCAAAAGCCCATAGATTGACCGTGAATATAGCTATCGTGGAGCCAAGAGCCTTCACGTTTGTAGCAAGCAATTCACTGCCCAAAGTGAAGAATAATGAAGCCATACCCAAGGAATACATAACTATGTACATAACCACACCGGTGGCAGCTAACCATCCTAACTCGCTGGTATCCACATGATTGTGTTGCAAATTAAAATACGCCGCGACCATGGCGGTTGAACATGCCGAGCCAATGGATGAGATTATCAACAGCGGCTTCCTACCAATACGATCAATAATGATCATGGAGATAATCGTGAATATCACTTGAATGGCGCCCAGTATCATAGTCAAGTGCTTGCCTTCCATATTAGCGTTTGCTTCGTCGAAAATTATTTCAGCATACTGCACTATGGCCTGACTGCCGCTCATTTGTTGAAATGCAGCCAGACAGAACAAGATTATTATAGCCCTGTAAAATAAAATTTACTAATAAAACCTTTTTCTGAAATCATAATTTTTTTCTCACATTGTCAGAAGCTGCTGCAAAAGATTGTTTATACATCATAAAGATTAAATTCAATGTTAACGAGAAGCATTGCTATATTATTTTACGAAAATACGATTATTTAAAAAAGAGAATAAGTTATTAAACAATTTTTAACATATATAGCCAAAGTTTAATTTTTTATCACTTATCGAGTACAATTTTTTTTTAAAACTTTATATTGATTAGTAAAATATAATAAATTGACAGTTTAACATCTCACCTGCGATTACCCGGCACAAATAGAATTTCTCGAAAACTAATTTCATTAGCCTTATCAGCTTTCACGAATTGCTTGATACTATTCATCTCCTTATAAACATCCTCTTTGCCTCTCAATTGAACAAGAGAGTTTATGGCCTTTTGTCCAGCATCGCGGCGTATCAAATGGTATGGGGACTCTGGCAACCAGATGAAAGCGACCACAAACAGGCATGGCCACACCAAAGACACAAGGGCGAGATTTTTCACCGAGAGAAACGGGCCTATTATGTACTCGATTGAAGTGCCGATCTTCGCAGCGACCGTCAACATGGATGCCAAAATACCGCGGATATTTGGTGGCGAAATTTCGCCCAAGTACATCGGCGTAGCAGAATAAGCGATACCTGCAGCCAGTCCGGATATCAACCTAGATATATATAGCTCCTACAAAGCAAATAAGAAAAATAAACAGATTAAATTAATTTATTCTTATACACATAAATATATTTATTCTCTTATGTTCTCTTGTGTAAGTTCAGTTATGTAAGAATTACGTACAGAATTTTATAAGCTTAACTTTGCTCCAATTCTTCAATGCAAATACTTTAATAGATTTATGTTGTTCGAATAATAGATGTAATATTATGAATAACAGTCTTTTAAATAATTTATAATTATATAATATCTTGAAACTCTTCAAGTAAAAATAGTGCAAAATTATACCTGTAGAAGCAAGATATATATTATTTGAGGGTCACTCATTATTTCATAAGCTGCTTACTGCTATAAAGTATTGCTCTAGTATTGGAGATTAGCAATCTTGCTATTCTTACTTTAAAACGCTTAATAAACTTAATAAACTTTAATGAATTGTGCGTGTAAAAGTTTATACTATCACTGATAATATTTTGTTATAAAAAATATAATGGAATATTTTACATTTATTCTGTAATCAATCCTCAGATCTAGATTATAATATTATTATAATTAAATATTTACAATCTTTGATTGTTTAATCAAAAAATCTAAAAACTAGATTTTTTCAAAAGATATTTGATTGATAAAAAAAATATCTGGTTTTTCCAAATATTTTATGCAGATATCTTTTTAAATCCCTTTCAAACGTCTTTTAGACATGCATATTGTTTGAATCGGTAATTACTGATAATCAGGTGGTAATCAAGTAATAATACAAATCATAAAATCTAAATCACATTCTGCAACTTTATCAAACAGTGTTAAAGTTGTTCGAAAAAATTATTTTATCAATTATAAATTATCAAGATCAAAGATGTGATTATGATAACAATGAGATTGAGTGTAGAAATTAAGGCTCCTGGGTAGTCACCGCAGCCATATTAGATTCGTGACGTCAGAAGCGAGAAATGACACGCCGAGAATTCTTGCGTGCCATTTCTAAATAAAATGATAATTTAACAAAGTAACACTCTAGATCGCTTTAAGACACCTGTAAAATTGTCCGAAAACTATGCTTTTTCCTTGACAGGTTATAAACAATCGTTAAATCAACCGTGAAGCGAAGCCTAATTATGCGAGAAAACACACGGTTGACAGCTGTCTGTATGAGTAGAAAATACTCCTTCTACGTTGGGCTTTCCCTGCTAATCTTAGTTTTCG